CGGGAGCCACCGTACCCCAGTATCCTCACAGATGCCACCATGGAGAAACTGGCACTCGCAAAATTTGTGGCTCAGGAGTCCAAGTGTGAGGTGAGTTCAGACACGGCAGCCGTCGCTGCGCTTGGCGGAGCATCGCGCTGGACACCATCCTGCTCACATCTCTGCCCATCCCGCAGGCCTGCGACGTGGTGGTGCGTTTCTACGGCCTCGTACACTGGGAGGACCCCATGGATGAGACGCTGGGACCCTCTCCCAACAGCTACACCTCTGCTGAAAATGCAGTCACAAAGGATGGCGTTCTGCACTACAAGGCGGGCACCTCGTACCTGGGCAAGGAGCAGTGGAAGACCTGCTTCGTGGTGCTCAGGTGGGTCTGGGAGAAGATCCCTGGCCAGTTTTCTTTTGCTGCCCAGAGATGAGGAGGGCCCATCTCATCACCTGGGAGGCTGACATAAAAGCCCCTGTTGTGGCCAGCAGCAGCAGCACAACCCCTGTGTGCACAGGGCTGGGCAGGATTGTGTGACCGAAGCCATGTTTGTGTGGTTGGCAGAGCTGAGCTGGCTCCACTGACCATCTCTCATCTTTCCAAATGGCAGCAATGGGATCCTGTACCAGTACCCTGACCGCACAGATGTCACACCTCTGCTCTCCATCAACATGGGGTAAGCAGCTGGTAGGATGTGGTCCCAGCTGGGAAAATGGGACAGGCTGGTGAACAGCACAGGGAAGGTGGATGGGGGCAGGGCTTGCTGTCATCAGGACAGCGCTGCGGTCCATCCTGACCTCCCTCCTCTCTCCCAGCGGTGAGCAGTGCGGGGGATGCCGGCGCTCCAACACCACCGACCGGCCCCACTCCTTCCAGGTGATCCTGACAGACCGGCCCTCCCTGGAGCTGAGCGCTGACAACGAGGAGGACATGGCCGACTGGATGCAGTATTTCTGCCAGGCCGTCTCCAAAGGGGTGAGCTGCACACACGAGTGAGCAAATCCCTCCTGAGCCCCTCTGGGTCCAACCTCCACGGTCCTTTCCGTGATCTTTCCGAAGAGCGGGATAGAAAGTGATGCTTTAGGGCACTTCCCTTCACATGCATGTGGCACCATGGAGATGGGGCTCCTTCATTTCAGGATCCATCTCCCCTTCCCCACCCGCTACATGCAGGTCATCCCCCAGGGTGTAGCCCCTACGCCATGTGTCCCGTGCTGCCTGGTGCTGACAGATGAGAAGGCCTTCACCTGTCATGAGGACTGCCAGACCAGCTTCTTCCGCTCGCTGGGCACCGTGGAGCTGACAGACATCACCTCCATCTCCACGGAGGCCAACAAGGAGTACTGCATCCTGGTGAGCGAGGTGATTTGCGGTGGCCTGGGGCTGGGCAGGGCCGTGGTAGCAACACCCGCTTTTTCTCACGTTCAGGAGTTTGCTCAGGACCACAAGCAGTTCCTGCCTCCCTGGGTGCTCTATTTCAGTTGCACTACAGAACTGGAGAGGTTCCTCTCAGCACTGAACGCCGCGTGGAGAAACAAATACCAGGTGAGCGCGCGCTCTGCACGGACATTTCCGTGCCTGTAGGCAAGGCAAGCCCTCCTATCTGCAGAGGGCATGCAGCCCCAGAGCCCCGTGCCCATACATCCATGGGGTGTGGGATGGGGTGCGAGAAGGAGCTGTGGTGCCTCCCTGCCCGACTGCTCCACGCGTTGCAGGTCGACCTCCTGCACAAGGCCATTCTGGACGCAGCTGTCAAGAAGAAATGTGAGGATGCTCAGAGCCTCATCAACAGCGCCTGGCAGCGCAGCGACAGCCTGTGCCGTGGGCGGGCAGAGCGAGACCCCTGGTGTTAGCCCTGAGGGGGGAGGACGGCTGACAGACAGCCCAGATGCTCTCAGTGGGCACAGACAGCGCCTGTGAGCGGCGGCATCCCAACCTCCTGCCATCTCGCGGTCCCCGTGGCCATGCTGGGGACGCAGCCAGCCTTGCCCTGCTGTGCAGCCTGCGCCCTCCTCGCCATCCAGCTGCTGTGGGGCAGAGCGCGTTGCCTTGAGAGGAACGCCCCGCCGTGTTGGAGTGGGGTGGGATGGGGCTGGGCATCCACTGTGCACAGCACGACTTTGTTCTGTGCAGAACAGAGCAGGTGGCAGCCATGGTGAGACGGGCGCTGAATCACATCGTGCATGTTTTCTCCTTGCTGATGCAATCACTGCGTATGGCACTGCTCCTTCTGAGCCCCCTCTGGGCACGGGGAATCTCACCACAGGCAACGCATCCAGACGTGGCCAAACCACACACCGAGCTGGCGCCAGGGCTGAGGCTGGAGGTGCTGAGCAGGGAACGATGGGGAAAGAAGAGGGAACGTGGCCAGAAGTTTGGCCTTGAATATCCTGGCCGTGAGCGGTCTGGTTTTAGGAGGCGGCAGGAGCTCTGGGCTTGGATGTGTGATGGGACAAACCCCGACAGGGAGAGATGGAGTCCAGAGCTCTTCAGGGGCCGAAGGGCTGCGGCTGCCCCGCCGTGCTCGGCTCCGTCACTGTGCCCAGAGGACAGGGGCAGCAGCCCCACGTCGGCCCCATCGCTCCCCCCTCTGCCACACACCCTGCAGGCACGGTCTGAGCTTTTAAACAGTACTACGGAGATCTCATGTAATATACATCTGCGGGGCCTTTTTCTGGGAGGAATTGTATGTGACTGAATGTATATATATATACATCTGCTTCCTTTCCCCTCCTCCCCAAATAAATACTCATTGGTAACTCAGCTCTGGCCCTGCAGTGCACACGGGGCTGGGGTTCCCTTGCTGCTGGTTTTGGTTTTCGGTGCGCCCCTCTCTCCTTCCCCCGACGTCCCTCTGCTGTCCCGCATTGGCGCCGCGGCCCGTTGCGGCAGGGCGCCCCGCCGCCGGATGGGACGCGGGGAGAGACGCGCCGTTGACCTTTGCTCCGCATCCCGCCCCCAAATCGGGGTCGGCAGCGGGCTGGGCGGCGCTCAGTCGTCGTCCCCCCCCAACTCCTCGTGTCCGCAGGACGAGGAAGGCGGAGCGCGGGGCTACTGGCAGGGCGTGCAGGTGCTGCATGGCGGCGGGCACCGGGGCCCTCGGGCCCTTCCCCGCCGCCGCGCTGCACGATTTCCCCTACCCCCCCCAAACCGCGGCCCCCGTCTCCAACGGCCCCCCGGCGGGGGGGGTTCCTCCGGCCGCCGATTTGGTGCTGGGAGCCGCGGCCGGCTGCATGGCCTGCGTGCTCACCAACCCGCTGGAGGTGGTCAAGACGCGGCTGCAGCTGCAGGGCGAGCTGCGGGCTCCCGGCACCTATCCCCGGCCGTACCGCGGCGTGCTGCGGGCGGTGGGAGCCGTGTGCCGTGCCGACGGGCTGCGGGGGCTGCAGAAGGGGCTGGCGGCGGGGCTGCTGTACCAGGGGCTGATGAACGGCGTCCGCTTCTATTGCTACTCCTGCGCGCTGGACGCCGGCTGGACCGGGTGGCCCGGGGGCACCGTGGTGGCCGGGGCGGTGGCCGGGGCGGTGGGAGCCTTCGTGGGCAGCCCCGCGTACCTGGTGAGTGCTGCGGCCCGGGGGGGGGGGGAGAGGAGCCCCCGGCTCTGCGTGCTGCGCGTCCCCGTCCCCGCCCGGCTTTGCCCCCCGAGCACAGGGGCGCGTTGTGCGTGCCGTGCCGCAGCCCTCCTGCTCGCCCCCTCCCGAGCCCAGAGCTCCACTGCAAGGAAATCGGGATTTCTCCCTTTTTGGGGTCTCTCCATCTCTTGAGGTGCTCGGAGGCGGAGCCGCTGCGGTGCCACTGCGGCCCTTTGCCCCAGGGCAGGGGGGGAAAATGGGAGTTCAGAGTCTGGGGGGGCACGTAGGTGGGTGCCCCGTAGCTCCGGGAGGGCTCAGATGGCCCCAGAAGGTGCTTTCCTGACGCTGGGAAGGGATGCTGAAGCCCATGGAGGGAATGCACAGGGCAAAGGGGGGTTCTGTCACCTGGTGTCACCCGGTGTCGTCCATCCCTGCAGGTCAAGACCCACCTCCAAGCCCAGACGCTGTCAGCCATGGCCGTGGGCCACCAGCACAACCACGAGGTGAGAAGGACCGGGCCCTGCAGGCAGCCGTTGTAGGGCTGGCAGAGGGGACACCATTTTGTCCTGCAGTATTTAAAGCCGTTGTCAGGTGGGTGCTATAAATATCAGCACAGGCTGCTCGGAAACAACGTGCGTGGCACTGAGGGATGCGGTGACATTGGGGTGACAGTGAGGAGGTCGTGTGGGGGTTGGGGTACGGATGTGCTCACCCAGCGTTTCTCCCCGCAGAGCATCTCGGACGCCTTCGGGAGCATCTACCGGCAGCACGGCGTGGCAGGGCTGTGGCGTGGGGTGTCGGGCGCGGTGCCACGCGTGGCGGTGGGCTCGGCTGCACAGCTCGCCACCTTCGCCTCTGCCAAGGACTGGGTCTGCCAGCACCAGGTGACCCCCGCGCCCCTCCTCAGCCCCGTGCTGCGGTGCCACCGCTGACGGCTGTGGATCCCCGCAGTGGTTCGGGGAGGGCAGCTGGGCAGCGGTGCTGGCGGGCGGCATGGTGAGCGGCGTGGCCGTGGCGGTGGCGATGACGCCGTTTGACGTGGTCAGCACTCGGCTCTACAACCAGCCCGTGGAGGCTGACGGCACGGTGAGTGCGTGGCCTTGGGATTTGGGGTCCTTTCCCGGCTCAGCCGGGCTGCATCCGGCTGTCTCTCCGCAGGGCAAGCTGTACCGCGGCTTCCTGGACTGCTTTGTGCAAATCTCCAGCAAGGAGGGGCTGCTGGGGCTCTACAAGGGCATCGGCGCCGTCTACCTGCGCCTGGGCCCCCACACCGTGCTCAGCCTTTTCTTCTGGGATGAGCTCAGGAGGATGGTGAGGCCGCAGCCGCCCCCGGGGCCGTAGGACCCCACGGATACAAATAAAGGGATGTATTTTTTTTTGTTTTGCTGGAGCTCTGGGGGTCTTTGGGGCGCAGTGGGACCGGGAGGGGTGATGGCAAAGCCGTGGGGACGCTGCGGCGTTCTGAGCCTCGCCGCCACCTGAATGTCCCCTCCTATGGGGCCAGAGGTGCAGCCACAGGCAATGATTTACCAGCCCGTGCCCCCGCCCGCAGACCTTTGAGCTGGGCCTGGCGCTGCTCTGCATGGCGATGCTGTCCCTGGGGTCCTGGCTGCCCGCGTGGCCGGGGCTGGCGTGGAGCTGGGCGCTGCTGGACGCAGTGCTGCGAGGTGAGGCCACGGGGCCGTGGGGATGTTGGGGACACTGGGGACACGGTGACACGGCACTGCTTCTTCCTGCAGGGCTGGTGGGGGCCTGCGCCACCTTGGTGCTCTGCAGCCTGCTGAGGGTTTATCTCTACATCCAGTGCCTGAAGTAAGCTCCCGCCCCGCATCCACACGGGATCTGATTTTGGGATCCGTGTTGGGGGATCCATTTTTGGGGGGGTCTGGTTTTGGGAGGATCCACTTTTGGGGATCTGCCTTTGGGATCCACCGCATTTGGAGATCTGCTTTGGGAAGGCTCTGCTGTGGAGATCTGCTCTTGGGGATCTGCTTTTGAGTATCCACATTTAGAGATCTGCTTCTGGGTTGGCTGCATTTGGCTGACTGCATTTCGGATCCAGCTCTGGGCAATGCACATTTTGGGTATCTGTTTTGGTGGATCCACATTTGGAGATCCAATTTTGTGTTATCCGCCTTTGGGATCCACATTTCAGGTAGCCTCTTACGGAGGATCTGCTTTTGGGGATCCCCTCTTGGGGATCCGCTTTGGCTTTCTCCTGCTTTTGGGAATCCTCTTTCGAGATCCCCTTTGGGGGTCTACTCTTGGCCGTCTGCTTTTTGGGATCAGCTTTTAGCTATCTTCGTTTGGGGATCCCCATTTTGGATGCTCCCCTTTTTGGATCCCCACCCCTTGGTTTTCCACTTTGGGGTTCCTCCTTTGGGTATTCCTTTTTGAGGGATCCGCTTTTGGGATCCCCTTCGGGGTCTGCGTTTGGCCTCCATCCAGCACCCCCAGCTGTTGCTGCAGGCAGGGAGGTGACCCCGTCCTGCTGTACCCCGCTGTCCCCAGCGACCCGGCGCGGCAGGACCTGCGGGTGGCCCTCGGGGCGCGGCGGTTGGTGCTGGAGCCGCTGCACGTGCTGGTGCTGACGGCCATCCTGGCGCTGGTGGGCTCCCGCGTGGCCGCGCTGGTGGTGCTGGAATTCTCCCTGCGCGCCATCTCCACGCTCCTCTCCCTCAGCAAGGTGAGCGGGGACAGGGAAACCGAGGTGTGGTGATGGGCGTCACGCGTCCTCCTGACGCTTGCATGATAGCGTTGGTGCTTTGCAACACCCATGCTGAGGACAAGAGATGCAGCATGGAGGAAAGCGCGCATGGCGGCACGGCGGTGCATGGCTTGGCAGTGGTGTGTGGCTTTGCATGGTACGTGGTGTTGCGACGGCGCATCGCCTGGCTGCTTTGCACCCCCTCCTGATGCAGCTCCTGACGGCTCCGTCCCGCTCCCGCAGGGCGCCCACAGCATCCAGCTGCTCGTGCTGTGCCAGTTCTCGCTGGGCTGCGGGCTGTCCTGCGGCCTCAGCTTCCTGCTGGAGGAAGCTCCCCATGGGACCTGCAACCTGGTGCTGGCGGCGGGGCTGGCGGGGCTGCTGGCCATGCACGCCCGCCGCTTGGCTCTACACACCTGCACGCTGTATGAGCTGCACAGCCAAGCGCGGTACTGCGGCGTCTGCATGCTGCTGCTCACCTCTGGGCACGGCGTGCCCCGGCTGCTGCGCAAGGCTCTGGTTGTCGCCTTCGTCGTGGCTGACCTGGCCGCCGTCGCGCTCATCAATCGTGATTTCCTCTCGACGGCGGAGGCCGTCCGCTTCTGGACGCCGCTCACTATCTGCTACACGCTGCTCGTCGTTTACATGCAAGGTGAGAGGGTGACGAAGGGCTGTAAGGACACGGAACGTTTGGGGAAAACAAGTTCTGGAGATGGAGATGTTACGAAGGTGGAGATGACCCGACCACGAGGTCGTAGCCCCACGTTTCTGTCTGCAAATGGGGCATCATTTGGATCCCCCGGGTTCTGGAGGTGACACGTTCTGGAGGTCACTTTTGTTCCTCCCAAATTTTTAGGATGATGCAACCGAGGTGACGTTTCTCCAAATGTTGGCTTTGCAAAAAGATCCCCAAAGATTTTAGGGGTGACCCAAAAAGGTCACAGGGCCACTCCCAAAGCTTGGGGGATCCAAACCAGGAGGAAATTTCCCCACACAGTGGCTTTGCACTGGGGACCTTGAGTACTGTGAGGATGACCCAACCGGCAGTTTCTTTGGGTCCCTCAGATTCTGGGGATGTGATGTCGTTCGGTTCCCCCAAGTTTTGAGGACGGCTCAGCCAGGATGTCTCCAAGTTGGATGAATTCCACACTCTGGCTGCAGAGCACACCGTCCACACCTGCACACCCTGACGCTGTGTCCCCACAGAGGAGCAGCGGTCAGGCACGGGCACGCAGGCAGCCTACCAGACAGTGCTGGTGCGCATGGGAGGCCTCTTCATCCTCCTCTTCACCGTGGGCCGCTGGACAGACCTACTCCACATCTTCCTCTCGCTGCTGGGAGAGCTCTGGTGCCTGCTCCACACCGGCGTCCTGCTGGAAGCTTGCCGGCAGCGGGTGAGTGCCCCCAGTGCAGCCCCGAGGCCACCATGAGGATCTGGTGCCCGCCTTTCCATTTCTCTCTCCTCTGTTTCCCTTAGGATTTCTCCTCGCAGCATCGACCGATGTCAGGATCGTCCTGAGGTGTAAGCAGGGATGAGGAACTCGGAGCAGCTCCCTAAGTCCTCCGTGCTGTGCTGGACAGCCGCTGTGGGGACACGGGAACAGGGGAAGGGGCTCCTGGAAGGTGCTGATCCCATCCTGTTGGATATGTGGATGCTTGTACAGCCCCTGGCTTTTGAGGCCCCCATCCCCATGGTGGTGATTGGGCTGGAGGTCACCTCCCTCGTCCTGCTGAGGGATGTGGGATGCAGACGGATGCACTCATCCTCAGGGGCTGCCAGGCTGCACCACTGAGGTGCTCCGAGGGACCTCTGGAACTTCATAAATCATGGAAAATGAGTGTTTTATTCCCAGTCAATGCCTGGGCAGAGCGAGCTGGGGTCCTGTTGCGTTGGGGTCCGGCTCAGGGACAGCCAGGGCAGAGCTTTCTGGGAGGGTGCATGCTGCAAAGGGGAACAGAGGCAAAGAGGGGTGTCCCCAAGCCCCAAACCCTTTCTGCTGTGCTGGAGGGCACCCGGTGCTAGGCCGATGGGTGCAGGGTTTGGGGAAGGGGGTACAGCAGGAGAGGGGATGGGGCTGGCCAGAGAACCTTGGGATGTTTGGGACTGCGGAGGGATCCTGAGGGTGTAGGGGGCACTTGGGGTATCGCGGTGGTGTGGGACGTCGTGGGAGCTCTACAGGGTTACGGAATAACCTAGGGGTGCATGGGACACCCTCAAGCACACGGTAGAACCCTGAGGGCGTTTGTGGCAGCTGGTGGGGGCTATGGGGCCGCCTGCCGGGGGGGGGCGGGCCGTGGGGCAGGAAGGGGGGAGGAGGAGGAGGGAGGGGAGGGAGGAAGGGGCGGTGATGCCGCGGCTCTGCCCCCCCGCTGCCCCCGCCGCGCCGGGCAGGGCGCGCCCGCGGAGCGCACGGAGGGACCCGCAGCGCAGCCCAGGTAGGAGACAGGACAGACACCGGGACTGCGGGCACCCCGGGGGACGCGGGGCTGCGGGGCTGCGGGGCTGCGGGGCCACCCTTGGCTGGCAACGCCCCTCCAGAGCAGAGTCCCCACGCTTTCCCCAGGTAGGGGACAGGAGACACCCCCAGGTGCGGGATTGAGGACATCCCCGCTGAGACTGGGACACCCCAGTGTGGGACACGGGGCTCTGCACAGGGGGGGATGAAGGCGGCAGAGAACTGTCCTGGGATGGGGCAGGGTACCGAGAACCGCCCCCAGGGAGGGGAACGGGGGTCCCAGGTAGGGGAGGGGACACTGAGGCCACCGCCACAGTCCCCACAGCGTCCTCCGAGAGCTGGGGGGTGCGTGCGGGATCTGCTGGGGGAGAGGGGGTGTAGGAGAGCCTTCTCCCACCCCAATTGGGGGAGAGGTGCCCCATAAGCAGCCTCCACCCCATCGATCCCACCCCCTCTGGCACCCATGATTTTGGGGTGTCTCTCACAGGATACCACAGCCCCATCCCAGCACAGCCACAGCCACCCCAAAACAGGAAGGTGCTGTCCTGTTGTGCTGGCACCCCAAGAAAAGCGCAGTGCAGACCCCAGAGCTGCCACCCTCCAGCTTCAGCCACCCCGGTGGGCGGCAGTGGGGCAGCAATGGGGCCGCTGGCGGCTGGGCTGCCCCAGCACAAAGAGGAATGCGCCGAGCACATGGTTCACATTAGCCCTGCAGATTGATTTTTTTTTTCCCCTTTATTTTCCGCGGGGAGCAGGTGAAGGTTTGCGTGCAGGGCGAGGGCTGGCAGCGCCGGGACCCGTTTAGGTTCCGCCGGCGGGGAGGGAGGGAGCGCAGCCACTCCGGATTCTCCTTTTTCCTCCCTTTTCTTTGAGTCAGAGGCTGAAGTCAGCAGTGTGCCCGTCCCACAGCGATTTCCCCACTGCACAGGATGTGGGGATGCCCGTGAGCAGGATTTAGGGAAGCAGAGCTGCCCCGTGCTGAATACGGAGTGCTGCATGAGACCAGGCAACTCATCACACAGGTATTGTTCTGCAGCACGGCAGGGATGGATGCAGCGCTGGATGGAGCCTGGGGGTCCCCGGGAGCTGTTTTGGAGGGGGAAGCAGGGAGGAAGCAGGTCCTGGCTGCTTTTCCCATTGCTGAGCACAGCCCTTTTCCTTCCCGACTGGGGTCAGCCAGGGTCGGGCGCATCCTGCCTGTGCGGTGGCCGCTGTGCTTTACAATCCCATTTTCCACAGGCAAGGTGGGTTCCTCCCGCAGTTTGATCCCAGCTGGGGTCAGTAAGAGAGGAATAAAAGAGGGTTACAAGGCTTGCAAAAGGCTGGGGTTGGTAAGGAACGCCTGGGACAAAGTGGGAGATTTGGGAGGCTGCGCACGCTGCCCGCAGCCAGGTGCCCTCACCGCACCAGGCACGAGGCTGTTTATTGCTGTGACCTGGGGCGGGGATGCCCGTTCCTTATTGCCTATCCAGGAAGGGGAAGAGGAGTTGGGTTGAGGCTGAAGGACAGCGGCAGCCACAGGCACACCGCACTGCTGGGGCGCTGGCACATTCCTTTCTGCTTTCTTCTTTTTTTTTTTTTCCTTATTTTTTCTTCCCCGAAACCCCAGCCCACGTCCAGCCCCTCTGCCGTTTCTGCGATGCTGCCCAGGAAGGCAGAGAAGAGGATGACTTCGTCTGTCTTCATCACCCTGGCGTCCCCACGGAGGGAGGCGGCCCCCAGGGAGCAGCCCCACACAGGGCTGTCACCGGCTGTCCCCGAGGGCAGCCCTCACCCCCCGACGACCCCGGCGCTGCCCAACGGAGGTGAGGAGTGGCTGTGAGGCACCGCGTGTGAGGACAGTTGTGGTGGCGTGGAGGCACTTTGCAAAAGGATGTGGGTGCCGGTGGAGGGGGGGTGTTTTCTGAGGGTCGTTCCCTAAACCCCACACCCAGTGCAGGATGGATCCAGCTGCCCGGATAGGGTGGTGGTTGCTCTCCGTCAGCCAGCACTTATCAGCGTTTGCTTTTGGGGCTGGTCGGTGGGGAGTGTTGCCGCAAGCTGTCGGGGCACTATTGCAGGGGAGGGCTCGGGATGGGGCTGGCAGCACTCTGCCTGGCTTTTGCTGCAGAATCCTGCCCTCGCTCCCCAGCAGTGCCTTCATCCCCACCGGCCCTCATCCTCTCCAAAGAGCCGCAGCCCCTCTCCGCGGAGGCACTGGCTCCAGCTCTGCAGCAACTGGACCTTGCGGCACCCACCACGGCGCAGGTCAGGACCATGAGCGTGCCTCAGTTTCCCCATCCTCAAGGGCTTGAATATAATGCGTGTTTTCCTCCTGCTTGCCAGGCTCCTTTTGCCTTCCCTGCTGAACTGAGGCCTCTCCAAGTTTGCCAGGGACAAGCAGAAAAGCTGCAGTGGCAGGATGCAAATGGGCATGGGGAGAGGAACGGCTCCCGAGGTAAGCACACGGACCTGGCTGTGCTGATCCCTCAGTGGGACACCAAGGCAGCTCCTGCCCTGCTCCCTCCCCACAGACATCTGCGCCTTCTGCCACAAAGCCGTGGGCCCACAGGAGCCGACGGTGGAGGCGATGCGGAAGCAGTACCACGCTGACTGCTTCACCTGCCGGACCTGCCAGCGACGCCTGGCCGGCCAGCGCTACTATCAGAGGGATGGCCGCCCCATCTGCGATGCCTGCTACCAGGTATGGGGATGTTGGAGATGGTGGCATTTCAGGGAGCACCTTGGGAATGATGGCATTTGGGGAGCGGTGGCATCTTGGGGAGCACTGGCTTTCAGGGAGCAGTGGTGTCTCTCATGTCACGTCCCTGCCTGCAGGCCACGCTGGAGAAATGTGCCAAGTGCCAGGGGCTGATCACTGAGCGCATCGTGCGTGCGCTGGGCAAAGGCTTCCACCCTGGCTGCTTCGCCTGTGCTGCCTGCGGCCGGGCCATCGGTGCTGAGAGCTTCGCGGTGGACGAGCAGGGCAAGGTGTACTGCGTGGCTGACTTCTACAGGTGGGGTACCAGCAGGGGGGTTCAGCTGATCCCCGTCACCCCGTGGGTCTCACGTCAGCCCCATTTTATCCCACCAAGGAAATTCGCCCCGGTGTGCGGTGCCTGCAAGCGCCCCATCATCCCTGAGGAGGACACCTACAAGATCGAGTGCCTGGGACGGAGCTTCCACGAGAGCTGCTACCGCTGCGAGGTATGGCCCCGAAACTCTAAGTGATGTCGCAGTGCCTCGCGAAGTACAAGGGGCTGGAGGCAGGCACAGAGCGTGGGTTGGTGGCGAGGTGCAGAGCGCGGTGTGGTGCAGGCAGCACGGCGCAGGGCTGCAGGAAAGCCCTACAGGTGGCTGCGCTGTTTGCAGAGCTGTGGGACGCCGCTGTCGCCGGAGCCGACGGAGGACGGGTGCTACCCGCTGGGCCACCACCTGCTCTGCAGAGCCTGCCACATCTGCCGGCGGAACGAGTCGTCCTGCTGAACTGCAGGCCGTGAGAAGGGCAGCACCACTGGGATGGACCCACCGAGAGCAGCGGGCGCAGTGTGATCACCACAGTGTGCCAGGACCCCAGCCGTGCAGCTCGGCCTCTGCCAGCTGCTCATCACAAGCGGAAAAAGCCCTGGAAGAGCAGTGGTGGTGGATGAGCTGAGGGTTTGTTCACTTTTTTTTTCTTTTTTTAAATCCTTTTTTGAAGTTGGTTTGATTTCTTCAGTGTTTTTCTTTCCTCTCAAGCTTTCTTGGGGCTTTGTTTAAACACTTCTCTCTGTGGTGATGCAGAGAGCAGCACTGATTTAGCTCCTTGTCATTACATAAAACCCCGAGCTAAAAATGCCGTCTCTTTCATCCGCCCGTTTCCTGTGTCCCAAACTTACAGAAGGCAAGTTTAAAAAGAAGGAAGAGGCCACACTGGGACCTTGTGGGTCACCTCGGCTGGCAGGAGGCTGGGCACAGCTTGCTTGGGCTGCTGGCCGATAGCACGGCTGGGGTGGGCTGGGATGCGGCGATCCGGCGGACGGGAGAGCAGGAGGTCTGTGCCGGGCCGGAGCGGGGCTTCTGCTACGTGCCCGCTGTTGGTAAAGGATGCGTGGTGTTTCTCTGCTCCGTCTCACGAAAGTCCCAGGCCGGCAGAGGGCAGCAGGAGCACAAATTCCTCCAATGGGTGAAAAAAGTGCCTGATTCCTGTCTTCTGCATGCAGCAACGCTGGTACTGAGGCTGAGGTTTAGCATCTTACCCAAGATAATACCACTCCACCAGCAGAAGCTTTCAGACTTTCTTTTGGTCCACGGTATGAAGTGCAGAAATGAAAACTTCTCTTTGTGCATCTGTGTGAGCGGCGCCACCTGCACATTGGGTTTGTTTGTGAATATACCGTGAACCAGACAGACAAAGGGTTTCCCTTCTAGCCAGAAGCGTTTATAAAGCCACAAATCAAGTGCAGGAAATAACAAGAGCATCTGAGTCAATATTTAATGCTTCCCTGATGGAAAAAAAAAGAAAAAAAAAAGGAAGATGTTTTAAAAAAAGCACCAACAAAGCAGCAGCAGACAAACGTTTCTGGGTCACGCTGCCTAAAGTCTCCCCAGCACAAGCTGTATTTAAGAATGAAAGGGTTAATGTATGGGTAACATATGGATTCTTCACACCAACCCCGCAAATGTTTCCTGCCGTCTCTCCCCATCTACAAAGCCTATTATTCATGTTGGTGATGTGTGTCTGCAGCCATCCGTCAGGGCACAGATGGCTGTAAGCTATTTGTCAATAAGATGCTCGTGCGAAGCTGTGGTGTGTCCTGGAGTTGGGATGGTCACGTCTAGAGGCGGCTCTGGTCCGTGTGCCATGCCAGGAAGTCGTGGGTTTGAAGTCATTCCCAAAGCCTCGCACTCTGTGGGGAAATGCAGGCATGGAAAAGTGAAAAAAAATGCCAAAAAAGTGTCCTGAAGAGTGCAGGGGTGGGGGAGGGAAGCGCCAGACAGCAGAGCATTTCCCTCTTTTTGTAATATGGGTATTTTCCAAATGAGATTTTCAGGGAGGATGGGAATAGTGATGCTGAGCGTTGGTATAGATGTGCTGTTGCACTGCCGAACCCTCTGAGCAGCGGCTCTGGGTAGTGAAAGCAGGAAGGGGCTGCGCATTTCCCTGCAGGGTGCTCTGCTGGCACTGGGCTGCAGTGGATTTTGGCCAGAGGTGGGCAGGGAATGGCTTTTACGGACACAAAGCCTTGGAGGTGATTCTGGCAGGGAGAGGAGCAGGACAAAGTGCAGCTGGAGAGTTCAAAGGGTTGCAGAAGTGGTTGGATTTGGCAATTTTTTCCAGGAGCGAAGGATGACGGGGGTGTACAGACAGGGAAGTAAACTGATAAAGGCTGATCCGAGCTGCTTTCTGGGTGGGTAAGGGGAGAAGCATTGTGAGCTGGGGTCTGGGCGTGTTGCTGAGCCTGGAAAGCACAACCCTGTGTTTTCCTCTGGGTGGACATAAAGGAATTGTGCTGTACGTCTGGCCCCATCAAGTGCTGGGGGTCCCGTTCTGCTGCTGAGCATGTAGGCACCAATTGCAACAGCTCAGCCCATCCTTGGGCTCCTCACTCCATCGCAAGCGATTTTGCAAGGGAAAAAAGTTTAAAGCCCACCTCCTTACTCAACACCAACGTGCCCAGGTCTGCCAGCAAAAACACAAAGCACACCCACAGCAATGCAGAGCTCCTTCTTTACCCCCAGAAGCCCCATAGAGCCCCCTCGGATCACCTGGAGGTGCAAAACCTGCTGAGGTCTTGCATCGTCTTGCAGTGGAGGTGCAAAAGGGCAAGGAGCCGTGCCTGCGCAACGCCCTGAGCTGCTGCAATCAGCCCGTCCTTTCTTGCAATCCCTCTTGGCAGGCTGAGGCGAACGGGGAGGGCCCTCTCACATAGGCTGGCCGCTCTCCAAGGAGAAGCAAATGCAAATATTTCTTCACTTCGGGCTGGGTGCGGCCTGTGGATAAAATTTCCCTGGTCTTTCCCAGAGAAGGCATCCGACACCATGCCCTGCTCCCAGGAACATGAGAATGTAGGACAAAAAACCACAAAGGTTATCTTTCTTGCAACATTGGGGTTGTTAAAAGGAGCTGACAGGCACGGCTGTCATATTTTTAAATCGGCGATCAAGGTTTTTCTTTGTAACAAAAACGGCCTTTCGCAGGTTTCACTTGCAAGCGGAAGATTTTGGTGCAGCATAAGCAAGGTTGTAAAGGGAAACGGGTTGGAAACGGCCCCATCAGCCGTGAGAAATGTGAAAAGCAGGCGGTGGACTGAGGGAGAGCTGAGCCGGATTCCTGGCGTGCCTTCCCTCTGCCATCACTGCCTCGGAGGTGAAAGCTGCTGGGGAGTGGCGAGCAGGAGCCAGCACTGCAGCGAGATGGGATGAGTGAGGCTGGAGCAGTCGAGAAGGGAGAAAGGAGCAATGGCAGCAGTGCTTTGTTTTTCTTTTAAAATGAGTTTTAGAGCTGGAGGAATTTTTTTATTATTATTATTTCCCCCTTTGGTTGACCTGAGTTAATTGTGAGCTTGTCCCAGCTGGCTTGCTGCAGTGTCATCCTTTCTGGCGGAGCATTCGGACCCATTTTTTGCACTTCCCTGCGCTCAACACAACCTAAAAGCCAGCAGCTCTCATGAAATGCGCTCTAGTTAAGGGGGGAGGGTTGGAAAGCAGCTGGAATTGTTCTGGGTTAAAAATAAGCGGAGCAGCGCGAGCCCTGAAATTCTCCAGCTTCGTGATTTGGAGCACAGCCAGGATGAAAACAAAAACAGAAAGAAAAAAAAAAAAAAAAAAAAAGACAAAAGAAACAAAACCACAATGAAAATAACACTGTGCTATTGTCCTTTTATCCTGAGATCTGCTTACAGAGGAGCCCGCAGCAGGACCTGCCTGCATCTCCCCCTCCATACGCAGCACTGGGGGGTTATTTTTAAAGCAGTGTTTTCCATACACCAGGAAAAAAAAATATATATATATATATATCGATACATCCAGTTATGCAAACCTTGTCACCAGGCTGCAAATTATACGCTGGGTTATGAAATAAATAAATAAGGCAAAAATAAAAATCACCCAACCCACCCTATTTCTGCAAATAGGCACAAGGGAGCTCTGACAGCATCCACCCCATCAGCGGTGTGGATTACAGCGTCCTGCAGCCCTGGTTTTCCAGGTGGAATGAAGGATTTTTGCCCAGCTCTGACTTGGAGCAGTTTATTTTCTTCTTTATTTCACCGGGGTGTTGATCGGAGCCCTTTGGTCTGTGCTTTGTTTAAAAATATTCACAAGAAAAAAGCAGGAGGTGTCCGTCTGCCAGGGAGGCTCACGGACATCAGCAGAGGGTGAGGGGAATATCTTCTGAAATTAAATATATCTCTTAATTGTGTGTAAGGTCAAACTTTCCCTCACAGACATCATCTGCTCAACTCGAGTGGCTGCACGCAGTGACGCTGAGGAGACCTTCTCCCCTTTTCCCGACCCTGTTTTAAGAACATCACGTAACCTCCTCATTTTGTGGAGGGGAGAAGGAAAAAAGTTAAAAAGGGGGGAGGAGAGGTGGTAAAAATGAGCAAACGGAGGATGTTTTCCTCACAGAAAGGGGAGGGGGAGGCAGGCGGCCGCGCGGCACAGCGCCGCCCGCGGTACTGCAGGGCCCCGCCCGCTGCTGGCTTCACAAAATGGCGCCCGGCGGGGCCGCGCCGACAAAATGGCGGCGGGCGGACAGCGCGGGAAGGGCCTCAGGGCCCCTCGTTCCCCTCCCGTCCCCGTCCCGTTTTGAGGTGTTTTTCCCCTCATAGCGTGAAGATTTTTGGGTCAGTGCTGCTCTTTCCGCCCCCTCCACACGCGCCTCCCAGGTGGGTATTTCCATAGCTTGATGCCTAATTCTTTCTCCCTCTCCGCTTTTCTCCTCCGCAGGGGTTGCAGCCTTCGCTGTCCTCAGCGCGTGGAAAATGCGCAAAAAAAAACCCCAAAACAACACCAAAAAAGCCCCGAACAGCCGAGGACTGAAGGAAGGAACTGTCTCCTCACGGCCACCGTTCTGGTAATTAAAAACATCCATGTGGTGCGATCAGATGTGGTAATACTGCTAAAAAGAAAAGAAAAAAACCCAACAAAACACAAATCCTGTCACATCCCAGTGCTCGGTAGAGGCTGCAGCCTCGATACCATGCATATTTCTTTCCTTTGCTTACTGTTTGCGATGCTTCTTTACCTTTATCCACACCACAGCGTAGCATCGCCCCTCCTTTGTTAAAAGCCTCATACCTAAAATACCTTTTTTTTTTTTTTTTCCTGTTTAAATACAGATTTAGGGCCGTACAGGTGCTCTTTATTCCCACATGTCTCTATATGTCTCCTTATCCCAGAGATGGATTGCAGAACAAAGCCATTCACCTATAATGCTAATTACACACAATTACTCTCACTTTGGCCCGTACGTATGTTGGATTTTATATATTTATTACCTTTGTTTTCCTCCATTGGCTTTCTACTGTCCTAAGAGCAAGAGGGAAAAAAAAAAAATTACACGTGCACAGCCAAAAGTAAAAAAAAAAAAGACAAAAAATAATAGTAAAGAAAAAGGTAAAAACAAGCAAAAAGCAACCAGTTGCCCATTTGATCAGTCCGTGGTGGAGATTGGTGCCTGGATGCTTTATTTGTTCCACAGAGGTGTAGATTTCCCTTGGGATGTTGGGGAAAGATTTCTTAATTAAAGGATAAAAAAAAAAAAAAAGAAAAGTAAAAAATAAAACAGTGAAACAGAACCGAAAAGGAAAATAATATGAATTCTTATTGATTTAAAAAAAAAAAAAAAAAAAGCAGCTGACGCTGGCAATGCAATCGGGCAGGCACTGAATTCATTGCACCGAAATGAGGACGGATGAGCTGAACTGAGTGGCAGGGCTGAGTGCAGCTCCGGGAGGAGGGCTCAGCTCCTCGCCCCACCATCCAGCGCTGCACACACCACCATCTGTGTGCTTTTGTGCTTGATTTCCAGCCCCGCGGGCTGCCCTACGTGATGCACGGAGCGACGCGGGTGCCCTGGTGCTGTGCGTTCCTCTCCCTTTTATTGCCTGCTCTATGCTCGCTTTTTTTCTCCCCCCTCTGCGGGCAGCAGGGTTGCTCGGCTTTCCTCTCCCCAGCTCGGCAGCTGATTCCAGAAGTTTCTACAGCGGAGGAAATGCACGGGGGAGGGGAGCACCCACTGCGGAGCTTTGCCGCAGCCGGGCAGGCGTGGAGGAGGAGGAGGATGCGGAGGATGCACCACCTCCCTCCCTCCCTCCCTCCCTCCTTGGTTCAGGACGCTTTCCAAGCCTCTCCCCCTCCCTACATTTCCCCATCCTTGCAGAGGGTGCTGGGAGGTGTTCGCAAGTTGCTTTTTTTTTTCCTTTTACCCCCGCTCGTCCCTGTCCCCCCCCCCCCAACCCGTTTCCTCCCCCTTTGCTAAATAAATTAAAAGCAGAGATGTCTCCTGATGGAGATGGATGAGGCTGGGCTCACTTGCATGCACTGTGCCACAGCCCTGATCTGCTGCTTAGGGCAGAAATGACCTTTCCCAGGCAGTGGGAGGGAGCTTCTCCCCACCCCGCTATGCTGCTGCTTGGAATTCATCTTACATAGCAGCCTTATTATTTTTTTTATCCCCCCTCCAAAGAACAGCTTGCTGCTTCGGTGATTTTTTTTATTATTATTATTATTTTTTATTATTATTCTCAGCCTGTGTGTTGCAGCTTCCTCATGATCGTTTTGTGTGTGCGTGTGTGTGTGTGTGTGTGTATGCTTTGAATTGCATTTTAAAATTGCCCAGCTGGAGACAAGTCTTGATTAGAGCTGGAACAATAGCTCCATTTTATTAATAATGGGAAGGATTTACGATCCTACAGCACCTTCCTTGGAAGGCTTTCAAAACCATTTGCAAACTCTCACAAATGTAAGCTTTCACAGCCCTGCCTGTGAGGTGGGTAAGTATTTCCACGGTGCCACCAAAAATCAGGGAGAGCTGGAGTCGGTGTGTGCTAAAATAACGGCAGATCCGGTGGGCTTTAGGGCTGCAAAGCTGGGAGGAGGGAGGCTGGTTAAAAGCTGTAACCTAAATCTGTTTGGTGTTGTCTGTAGATGCAGATATTTGTCTTTGTCCTGGGAACCAGGCTGCTATTTCTCAGCCTGCTCTGTGCTCCTTGCTTTTTGCAGAGCGAAGATTCGGACTTGCCTGCTTGTCAGTAAACATCTGCATATAGATTTATTTATTTTTTTTAATTCATTACTTTTTTTGTAGTCCCCAGGTGACCTCCTTTAGTGCTGGCTCTGCTGCGGTCTGACCACAGCTTTGCATTAAAGCAGGCTGCGAGCGCTAATGTGTCTCCGTGCAAGTCCACGTGACCTTGCTCAGGGGACAGGGCCCACTGAGCTAATGCAGATGCTCCACTTCAATTACGCAATCCTGCATCCCCTCCCTGACCCAAGAAGCATAGGGGAATGTTGCAATGTTATGGGTGAAAGCTGTCTTCTGCCCTAATTTTTATTTTTTTTTCCTCCCAGGGAAATGCAGGGTTGTTTGTGTAATTCCCACTCTGCAGCAGATAGCTTCTCTGTGAGTATTGTAAACATGCAGCAAGCTGGGCAGTGGGATCTGGCCTTGCTGAGGAGGGTAAGGCACAGTTCTCTGGTTGTGTGAGTGCTTTACACCTCCACAGAAAGCCACAATGTTTCTGTGGTTAATTCTGGAGGGCATGAGCGGGTCCCAGGGCTTCCCCTTCCCACCCTGTAATGTTTCACAAAAGAGAAAGCTGCTGCTTCTGGAAGAAGCTCTGCCTTGTGGCCTTATTTAAAAAAAAAAAAAAAAAGAAGGAGGCTGTGGATTAGTCATCATTATCGTTAAAGGAGGCTGCGTGTGCTGGTGTGTGTGTGATGTTAAGCATTAGTTTATTTGGGAGGGCTGGTAATGTGCTCGGGTCGCTGCTCCTGGAGCAGTGCCACCAGGCTCCATCAAGCTGCTGCTGGCAGGTGGAAAAGCTGACGGGCTGCTGTCGGTCCCCTTCCATCCCTTTTCCCTTTTCAGTATCTCTGCACTGCCAGGTGTGGGAAGGAGGAGACCGAAACGACAGCGAGGAGGACAGGCGAGGTTCCAATGCCAGAGAAGAAACCCTGTGCTTTTCTATCCTTGCTTTTATTCTAAGCACAACTGACTGCATCTTGTAAGAAGACTTAGTTTGACCCTTTTGGATGATAAAAACAGTGCTGGTTTTAATCGTTTATTTTTATCCCTTCCCTGTGGTCGTGTAGAGGAGTGAGCTGTGCAATTAAAATGGGATAGCAAAGGACAGCTCCCTCCCCCTTTCCCATTTCAAAAAACCTTCCAGAGTTGTGTGTTCTTGAATTGCTGCATAGGCAGAAAGCATACAATGCAGTTGTCAGCATTGTGCTGATGTGTGGCACATTTAAAAAAAAAATACACACAAAAGGGGTGGGGAGAGCGGGTGCCTCCGGGGAGTAAAACTGTGGGGCCCCTTTCCCTACCAGCAAACAGACCTACATGCAATAGTTTATTACTTCTCATTTTGCTCAGGCAAATGTAATGCACAGACGTCAGAGGGAGCGTTGCAACATGCTAAATGGTGTTGCTGAAGATCAGGGTCCCCTTGAACTGTTTTTCCTGTGAGCTTGCTCCCATGAGATGCCACAGCTTTATTACTCAATTCCTCAAAGTTGTGCTTACTTGCCAGAAGGAAGGAGAATGCTTCCTTTCTGGGTGTAATTTCTTTTGTTGTGAGGTAGAAGGTAATCAAAAGCAGCTGGTTCTGATCTCTCCTAGGTCGCCATGACTTCAAAATGCATAGTCCAAGCAGTGAGCAAAGAGAGCAGGTATTGGCACCTCCTCATCAGCCCTCATCAATGAGAATATTGGCTTTGGTGTTGTGTGAGTGCTGCTGGCTGACCAGTGGAGGGGTCCTACCCTGCTAAGCTGGAGCAACGCTTTCTGAGCAGTGATTTCATTGCCTGATTGCTGCAGTGATTTGGAGCACAGCTGTGACTTTATGTTTTTCTGGCAAAAATTTAGCTGAGGGTAAATAGGAGATGTCCAGGCCAGATTTCAAAGTGAGATGGAGAGCTGGGAGAAGCTGGTGCATGGTGTATGTGAAAACTGCCAATTGTTTGTGTGCCTAAAAAGCCTCACCTGTGTTTAAATTAAATGAGCCTGGATAGGACATTCATTTTTTTTTCTCTTGTTAGGGATGTGTTTGCAGATATGCCTGGTGCTGGTTGGGGGCCTCTGCTGGCCTGCAGGTACAGGGGACCAACAAACTGTTTGGGATGCTTTCACGTTTTTCAGGCCACGACACCCTGTAGGAATTGTACTGCTTTTCTCTGTCAGTTTGGAATAACTGGGTTTCCTTGGGAGTGTTGGACTTCTATCACCGCATGCTTTGGATTGAAGAGTTAACAGAATGACATCTGTGAGGCTTCCGAGCTAAACAAAACCTGAATTTCTGGTGCAAAAAGCAAGTGAGTGATAGAAACCTCTGCTCCTCTTCCTATGGGTGAAGCTGCAGCCCTTTAAGCTTTCCTATTACACCAAAGAGGTAGAAAAAGCATAAGCATGCACTGTGAGTTCTGCAGTGCTACTGGTGATGTAGAATGAAAGCCAGAGCTAGCCAAGAAACCGTTCTCCTTTCAAATACAGTCACCATGCACAAGTACTTTTCTTCTTTGCCTTTCCCTGAAGTGAGAGAGCAGTAATGGCACAAGCGTGCACTCAGTCTGCTTCATTTAGAACACAGTGATTCAACTTCAATGCCAACACGGTGAATCAAAAGCATTGAAGATAGCTGGCTTGCTATTTATTTGGCTCTGGGTGTGACCATCAGATGCAATTGGGAATGTGAAGAAGAGCAACTCACATGGTTGCGCTGTTTTAAACCTTTGTCCTGCAACATCTCCAGTGTGATTTCTGTCTTTCCTGCTGGGCATTGCATGCGGGGCTTTTCATGGAGAGGTAAAGCACTGCAACTGTATGTTAAACATGGCAACGTACAGGATACAGTGATCTCTCCAGTCCTAGGAGGCTTGTATCCTTTGCAGTAGTCAAACCAGGTGGGGCTGGGAGACTTCAATTTTTTTTCCTCCTTTCATCTTCTTCCCCTGAAACGTTCTGTTTTGCAGCCTGGAAGACAGAAGCCTTCTGCCTAGAGGATGAAATGCTTCATGTTTGGAAAAAACTAGCAGGTACAGCACTTCAGGATGTGGTTGCAGAGATGCTTGGGGGCAAAAGGAACCAGGGCAGAAGCTGGCACTGTAATGTTTCTATTATTTTCCTAACAGAGGGTGAAAACCAGGTCTTAATTCCAAAAATTCTACTATGCAGTAAGCAAGAGTGAGTTCTTTTGCAGTCTCTGACTGCACATAGTGCTTTGCTTGGATGGCTTAGCAATTGCTCTGTGCTCTGCTGTTGAAGAAACATCTATTTTTGGGTAGCAATGTATTTTGAAAAGGGAAGTGTGCTTTTATATATATACACACAGATGGGTTCAGCGTAAATCAAATTCCAGGGGCTCCTGAGCTGTGCTTGCTGTGCTGCAGAAGGTAGCTGATGCTCAGCCATTGGCCACGGTGGCATTATTTTGCAGCAGCTCTGCTCCCCTGCGTTGTGTGGATGAGAACACCGTGGAGTCTGGCTGGGAGAAGTGCTTGAAAAGAAGTCAGAGAATGCTGGTACAGCTGATGCAGGGATGTTCTGCATCTCAAAGGGATGTTCTGGACAGAGTTAACACATGAAGACTTGGAGCGCTACCCTGTAAGAGGCAAGGACTGAAATCAATAGCTTTATTAATTCAAATCCTATACTTTGTGTTGTTGCTTAGGATTCAGAATCAGGCTTCACGTTCAAAGCGTTATCAGCACATTAGCCAGTATCCTCTGTCTTGGCAACACATGAGCCCAAATATCAAAAAGCACCAATTCCTTTTTGGAGAAAATTATCCATTGCATAAAACGTAATGGGTAAGCAATAAAATTAGCACAGCAATTCAGGCTGGCTTAAAAAATGAGATAAAAGCTTGGCTGGCAATTTGATATTCAGCTGCCATACTGTTGTGTTAATAAATATAGTCAATGAGCAGGAAAGACACGTCAATAAATTGCCTCGTGGCAAGATGTTGGTGGACCTGACCGGCTTGAACAAAGCAGAGCCCTGAGTGTCTGAGGGCTCTTGTCTGAGCAGCACACCATTTCTCTGCACAAAGCAAAGCAAGCTGGATGCTTACTGGACACTGAGGGTAATCGCTGCGTGCTGTGAATGCGAGTGCTGTAATCCCTGCAGGTCTGGTCAGGGTGGTGTCCCCAGCAGTGGGGAGCAGAGTAATGCCTCCCGCCCCACTCCGCAGCTGCAGTGCTACGAGCTCACAAAGCAGAGCCCTCACTGAGCCAGGGCTGATTGTAGGGAGCTACGGCTTTAGCAAACAGTCCTTGTTGCTGTCCTTGTTCCGTATCTAATTCTTTTAGCAAGCTCCACCACTTGGGGTAAGATATTGGGTTAGGAATGTTATGAACATTGTGTTGCATGTTAAAAATGTATGAGCAGTGCTGTCGGCTTGCTCTGTAAAGTGCCTTTCTATTTATCCACGTTTGCTCCTAGATGGTAGGCTGCCTCTGGCTGTTGCCTTTGCTTTTGGTATGAACCCCAAGGATGTTTTCTGATCCTCCTGCCCTTTTTTCCTCCAAACTGGAGAGCTGCTAACTTTATTAGCTCCTTATATGGCAGCACTGTTTTTCTCACGCCTTTAATGGCTCTCTTTTGATCTGTCCTGCTCCTGCTTTGCTTTTCTTGATGTGAACACAGTGTGCAAGCTGAGATGGGTTTATAACCTGCTCCCTCATTAATATCTGGTCTGGCATGTTAATCCTCTCCAAGTGGTGATAAGAAACATGCAGATGTTTTAACAGTGTTTGGCTGCAATGCCTGCAGATAGCTGGGTTCTCACTGTACTCACTGTGTGGATGAGCAATTAAACAGTGCCCTGCAGAGCTCCAGGCTCTGCCCTAGCGTGTGCTGGTGGCTGAGAGACGCTGGGTGATGGAGAGCAGCTGGATGGAGTCTCCTGTTCTGGGCTGTTTGAGTAGGAGGGGTGCAGGATCAAGTGCTGACCTTTGATGCTTGCTCCCAAGCTCGTTGCCAGCAGGCTGCACACAGGTCCTCATGCAGTGACCAGGATGACACCGGTTGCTGCCACCTCCTGTACTGAGGTCCCTTTGGCCTTCTGAGATGCAGGTCACACTCTCTCCAATCTGTGTTCTTTACAATCTCCAGATGAGTGAGAGGGATCTGGTTACAGCAGCACTGCCCAAGCGCGCCTGTGTGTTGCAACTGGGAACAGCTTCCCCCCAAAGCACAGTAAGAGCATTGGAATGATCCAGAGCTTCGTTCTGCATCACGGACCAGGCTACGCGCTCCTCTTCCAGCTGGCTTTCATGTAAACAGAGCATTTTAAGTACTAATTTCAACTGTTTTTTCTGTCTGCAGGCTTTGTTTCTGACAGTTCCTTGACTGTGGATGTCCTTCCAGCCAGGCTGCCTGCAGTGTGACAGCTGTGACCCTGCATGAGGTTTCTTTGAAGGACCTGGGAGACCGTGTGGCTTTTTTTAGTTCCTCAGAGGTGTTTCCATGGCAGGGAAGGAGGAAAATGTTTGGAAATGCTGTCACAGGAGGCATGCTTACCTGGCTAGGGGAAAACTTGCTGTAGAAAAGCCAGCTGGCGCATGGTTTGAAGAGGGATAGGTTCCTTTCTCTCCAAAATGGAATCCCTTAAGGAAGGTATAGACAAGTAGTTCCTACTCTTGAGGTTTCTGACTGGTTAAAACAAGGAGCTGAGCCCATTTCCATGCAGAAATGTGTGGTACAGTGCATTGCAATGCTTTTCCTTGCGTGTGCGGGGTCACACGCTTTACTAATAGATGGTTTGCATGCAAGAAGTTATTGCTTTTTTATTTCTAATCAGTCCATCTCCATTCAGCAGAGCAGCTTCACACCCACCATCACGGGGGAAACTGAGGCACAGGGCCACTGTGGGATTACAGGCAGAGCTGGGGATAAGGCTCAGGTTTGCGGAGGCTCAGGCTGACGTGCGTCAGAGGGCTGCTTAAATGGAGAGATTTGCAAAGGGAGGTGACCTACAGCTCGATGGCTGGGACTGCTGCTGGACCTGATCCTTGCGGGTGCCTTCTGACTCAAACCACAGTTTGGTCAGGGGAAGAATTTGGCAGCACAGTGCCCACGGTGAGATTTGGTGAGCTCCTCCAGTGCCAGAGCCTGGCCCACAGCCAGCGCACGGGGTTCATACGGCACTGAACTTTGGAGCCATTAGAGATAAACAGCGCTATAGGCTAATAAAAGGCTCTGCATCACAGGGCCCTTGTCTGCTCACGCCACAATTAATTTTTTACTTGCTGATTGCAGTGAGGGAAGAGTGCTGGGTTTGCTTTGTGCTGGGCTTGGATGGTGAGGAGTGGGCAGATCCTCGCTGCCTTTTGCCCTGCACCCATTTTTGCACGGCAGCCCTTTACCTTTCACAGCGCGTCCCGTTTTTTCCCCGCTCATTTTGTATTGCAGCCCCACTGTTTTGCAAAAGCCCCCCTTTATTTCTTTGCACTGTACGTCTTTATTTGCAATCCCTTCATTGCATTGCATTCACTCATCACCTCGCCCTGCAGCCCCGGTCTTTGCCACGCATCCCGTATTTTCCACAACCCACCTCGTGCATTTACTACTTTCCATCGCAGCTCCCGTTTATTGGCTCGTACCTCATCTCTTTTTTTTTTTTTGCCGTACTTCCTTTATCTACGATTCTCATCCCAGCTTTTTTTTTTTTTTTTTTTTTTTGTATTTTTTGCAATAAAACACCTCCGTCGCATCGCACCGCGCTCCTCCCGCTTCCCCTGCGCTACCCGCGCATGCGCACTCCCCCTCCCTCTCGAGGGGCGTTGCGTGCTCGCGCCCCTCCCTCCTCCCCTGGGCCGCGCGCCTGAGCGCGCACTGCGCCTGCGCGGGGGCCCCCGTGTGGCGCCGCGAGAGGAGGGGGGGGGGGGCGAGCGGGCCCGAGGCGGCGGAGCAGCGAAGGGCGCGGAGGAGGAGGAGGAGGAGGAGGAGAGGGGGGGGCGCCGCGCTGCCGCTGACGGAGGAGGAGGAGGCAGCGAGCGAGCCACGGCCGAGGCGGGGGGAGGCACCGAGGAAGAAAAGCGGCCGAGGGGCAGCCCGCCGCCCCGCAGCCGGCCCGCGAGCCTCGGGGCCCCCCCGCGGGGGATGGTGTGGTCCGCCGGGGCCGCCGCCGCGGGGGGAGGCAGCCGGCGGCGCTGAGGGCGGCGGGGCCCCGCGGCGGAAGAGGCGGCGGAGGAGGAGGAGGCGGCGGCGGCGGCGGCGCAGCGCGGGGGGAGGCGGCGGCGGCGGTGGAGGCCGAGAGCCGGGGCAGGGGGCTCGCCCCGCGGCGCGCAGCATGGTGCGGGAAACCAGGCACCTGTGGGTGGGCAACCTGCCGGAGAACGTGCGGGAGGAGAAGATCATCGAGCACTTCAAGCGGTGAGTGGGGCGGCGACGGAGGGCGGGAGGGGTCCGGGAACCGCGGGGGGAACCGAGGGAGCCGCTCGGGAAGCGCGGAAACGTCCGCGGAACCGTTCGGCGATCCGCTGGGATCCCCGCCGGAACGCGCCGCGCTCAGCGCCGCCGGAGCCGCGTTCCGCATCGCGGCGTGCGCGGCCCGCGGAGCGCCCGCACCGGGACGGCGGCACCGCCGTGCGCGGCTTCTGCCGCTGGGGGCTGAGCGCGGGGCGCTGACCGCCTTCGGAGCTCCGCCGCTCCGTCTTTCGTCGTGAGTCACCATGGGAAAAATAGATAGGAGCCGCACCGCGCTGACAGATGGCGGCCTGGGCCGCGCCGCGATGGGATGGGATGCGATGCCCGCGGGGCCTCTGCCCGAGCGCGGCTGCCTCCAGCCGGGCCCTAAAATGGCGGCGGGGCCCGGGACGGGCCGTGCGTGCGGCCGGGGCTCCCCGGGACGGGCCGTGCTGGCGGCCGGAGCTCCGAGCCCGCGGCGTGCAGAGGAACGCGGCGCGGAACGCTTCGGGCTTTGCGTGATTCCGAGCGCCGCGAGCTGAATGCGAGCGGGAATTCGACGTTCCTGAATCTTATTTTTGTCCAGCCCTTCGCTTTTGTAAGGTTAAAGCAGGAAAAAGTTGCTATGGCACTGTTGCTTGGAGATGGATGTGAAAAAATGGCAGGCTCGGAATTGTGAATTCCCTCCCCCCCCCCCCCTTTTTTTTTTTTTTTTTTTTTTTTTTCGGTTGTTTTTACCTCTGCGAGTTTCGATTGGTGGCTGCAGGAGGAGGTTTGCTGCCAGGCAGAGCCCTCCATTCCTAGCATCTCACGACGGTTTTCCAAAGATAAACGTTTCTCAGCGTTCGTGCGTTGGGAGAGAGGCTGACGTTACACGAGTAAACACGGGGCTAAAATCCATTCCGTGCGGCTGGGTCCGGGTGCAGGGACCGGCAGGTAACGTGCAGCCGCAGGTACAGCCGCACAAAGCAGCCGGGCTCTTTGTGTGCTGATGGCCGCGATGTGGAAGCAGCAGAGAGAGGTTGTGGAGTTGAGGCTGTGAGCTGTGCTGTGGGCACGGTGCTGCTTGCAGCCTTCCCCCTGTGTGGATGTGCTCCTCGGGTTTGGCACGGTGTGGCTGGGGAGCGGTGCTGCCCGCAGAGCTCTCTGCTACCCGCGGGGCTGTTTGCGTTCCCATTCAGCTGCAGTTTCCATATCTGCTGCTGCACAGGCTGTGCTAGGAACAAGTTTGGAACACAACCATTTTGTTTCGGAAGGAGCAAAACCCAGGGGTGTCTCCTGAAACTTCAATCCACGCGCTCAGTGTGAGGGGGTGCTGTTTTATTTCTTCTTCCTGCTCTCATCCTGTTCCATTTACTCTGGTAACCTTGCTTGGCTTTGCCATCTTTGGACTTTTTTTTTTTTTTTTTTTTTTAAAGAGAAAGAATTAAGGTGAAAAAGGTGTTTTGAGGGAATGAATACCTTTTTTTTTTTTTGTCTGCATAGTCAGAGGGGTTAAGAAGAGGGATTTTGTCTGTATTGTAACAAACTGAAATCCAGGCTTTTGTTTTGTTCTCACCGCCTGTGCTCCCTGCTGAAAGGCTTCATTCTGAGGCTCTGTGTTTTCTTTCAGTGAGTTCCCTACACGAAAGCAATGGGTGTTGATTCACAGCAAACCCCAAACTGGCACTGGGGTGCAGGGAAGCAGTGGCTGCAATCACTTTGGGTTCCCCCAACTAATGGTGCTGTGACTCGCAGGGAAAGAGTCATTCACCATCACTGGAACAGACGCTGAGCAGCCTGCAGAACAACACAACTAAACGTAGTAGTGTTTGTCCCCAGCATTAGTGCTGGCCTTCTGTAGTTTCTTTCCCCGTGTTTTCTCCCGGTTAATGTGGAAGAACCTGGCTTTGTCCCTTTACTGCTGTTTTAAAGGGTGAGAGGAGTAAAAGCCTCTTAATTGCAAGCCATGTGATTTCCGTATGCCATCGTGCCTTCTGTGGGAGAACTGAGACGTTCAGAGTGGCAACCAGGACCGTGAGACCTTGGATTTCGGGAGCAGACGTTCTCCTTCACGATTACTGCGATTACGCTGCAAACCAGAGCTCTCTTGGAACAGATAAAGAGCTGTTAGTGTTTTCTTCTGGAAAAGCAGAGGGCTTTGTCCACCCTGGTCCCTGCTCTGAGGCACACAGGCTGCCTTCTGCAGAGTGTTGTGTTGTCAGTGCTGCTCTGAGGAGCAAGATGTGGCCATAATGGAGAGGTGTGTTTCTTTCAGTGGCTTCCAAGCAGTAGTCAGTCAGTTTACAAGAAATGTTGTGTCTGCTGGCTGGGAGTGAGGACACGGCCTGGGAGCACCTCCTGCTCCTGCTGGTGGAATGGTAGCACTGTGTAGGGCACGGCTGCAGGATCGCTGCTGCAGAACGTTCCCAAGCTTTTAGCGCTTCTAATCTAGTTATGGTTGTTGGGTATCACTTGAGGTGCAAACACGTGGGTAGTTATCCTGAATCAGCTTTGCGTGTAGAGATCCCTGTTCAGTTGTGGCATTTATCTGGGGAAGAGGCTGAGATATGGATACGGAATGTCCCATCCCTGGCATTTTTCTGTCAGGTGTCCCCTGTTCAGGTGGCAGTACTTCGTAGCACAGATGCCTGTTAGCTCAGAGCCTTTGGAGGAAAGGTGGGATTTCTGCTTGTGCTTTATGAGGGCCTGGGCTGCTGTATAGCACTGAGGCTTGGTTACACTGTGTTTGACCAACTCCTTGAGTAAGAGATGTTGGTTTTGAGGAATGTAAGCATGATTCCTCAGTGCTGTGAGAGTCACTGCTCCTCAGGCTGCCCCATGCTCAGTTCTTTGCACACACTGGAGTGAGGTGGCAGCTTGGTGACGCCGCGCTGGCCGGGGAAATGCCTGTAATTACTGCAAAGAAACTTAATGAAGAGCTGCACGGAGCGCAGATTTGGACTAAGCTTCTGTTATAAGTTTCTGTATGCTGGGCTGTTCTTGAAAGAGAAGTGGAGGGGTCACTTGGTTACAAAATTCTGCTGTCTGCTGAGCCTTTCCAGCATTGTTTGTTCGCTGAGGTTCCTTCAGAGGTCCAGGCTACATTCATTTGTGATGTGAGGAAAGCGGCTTTTGTTATCTCCGAAATGCCGCTCTGAAGTTTCTCTGGCTTTTGGTGCTTCTTGTAATTGCTCTAAATTCCCTTGGTGCAGCGCTGAAGTAATCCTAATGCCATTTCAGACGGATTGCCTCTCTGTGCCACCTATGAGCAAAACGAGACTGTTGTACGCATATGGGAGATGCCGTCGGAGCCTGATGGTTGTTGTGGCTGCACCTGGGTTGATGGAAGCATTGGGTTCTGTGTGGAACCCGTTCCTGTGAGAGCTGAGAGCAGACGGGTGGATGGAGAACTTAACAGCCCTTGTGAGGAATTAGCAGAAATTAAACCCATTCATCAAGCTAAAATGGGACTGGAAAAGGCCCGGAGCTGTTCTTGATAGTCTTGTTGACTTTTTTTTTTTCCCCCAGTGCTTTTCATAGGACAGCGAGTTGTGCCAAGTCCTCCAGCGGATGACCTTATGTAGTCTTAAGGTGTGTCCAAAATTAGGTCCTTGTCTTTGCTGAGGGCCCAGCAGCACCAGCCGGCGTTTCATGGGAAAGGAAGTCAGTATCCATCTGTGCAGAGGGCAGGCTGCAGTTCTGAGGCACGTTGATGAGCCAAGATGAGCCTCGAGCTTTATTTTGCTGCGCTGGCATGCCGGAGTTGCAGGAGGAGATGCTTGGTGCTTGTGAAGATTCAGCTGATACACACCACGTTTCAGAATGAAGTGCTGGGAGGTGTTTT